GCGGGCATACTATTATTCTCGATGGCTGTGGCGGACGCTGGTCGTTATTTTCGTCGCATTGGGTATGATGGTTTGGGCGTTTTTGAATCTGGCTTGGTCGGAAGATGAATCTGAACGGGTTCGTTTGTGGTTATACCTGAGTTAGTGAGTGTGATGCTGATGTCTGTAGGATATGACCCCGGCGGAATCTTGGTTCCCTACCCCCAAGGGAGGCGCGCTTGAGGAATGGGCGGAGGATTACAGGAAGGCAGAGGCGCTGGTCAGACAGATGACCCTCATCGAGAAGATCAACATCACTACTGGCGTTGGATGGCAGATGGGGCTTTGTGTCGGGAATACAGGTATGTCTGGTTGAAGGCTAGGGGTGATGGCTGCTAACTGCTCAGGCTCCGCCGATCTGGTCAAGTTCCCCTCGCTGTGTCTACAGGACGGACCCCTCGGACTGCGTTACGCCGACCTCATCTCCGCCTTCCCCGCCGGCATTACAACAGGAGCGACCTGGAACCGAGACCTGATCCGACAGCGCGGTGTGGCTCTGGGAGAGGAGGCCAGGATAAAGGGTGTCAACGTGCTGCTGGGCCCGTCAATGGGCTCCCTCGGTATGATGCCTGCGGGCGGTCGCAATTGGGAGTCGTTTGGCTCGGACCCTGTGCTGCAGGGTGTCGCCGCTGCGGAGACCATTCGCGGCATCCAGAGCAATGGCGTCATGGCCACGGCCAAGCATTACATTCTGAATGAGCAAGAGCACTTCCGACAGCCGCATGAGTGGGGAATCGCCTCGGCCATGTCATCCAACATTGGCGACCGCGCTTTGCACGAGGTGTTCGCCTGGCCGTTTGCTGAGAGTATCCGGGCTGATGTCGCCAGCGTCATGTGTGCGTACCAGATGGTGAACAACAGCCATGCTTGTGAGAATAGCAAGCTGCTGAACGGTATTCTGAAGGACGAGATGGGCTTCCAGGGTTTCGTGCAGTCGGACTGGCTGGCTCAGCGGTCAGGCATCAACAGTGCTCTGGGCGGCCTGGATATGAGTATGCCGGGTGATGGTCTCCACTGGGCAGACGGAAGGTCCTTGTGGGGACCGGAGCTGACTCGAGCAGTGTTGAACACGTCTGTCCCGATGGACCGGTTGAACGACATGGTGACCCGCATTGTGGCTTCCTGGTACCATCTCGGCCAGGACTTGTGGCCTCGGCCTCCTCCGGAGGGTGACGGCGGGCCCACCTTCTCCTCGTGGACCAACGATGAAGTCGGATGGCTGCACCAAGGATCGCCGGATGATGAAGCCTACGGCGTCGTGAACCGGTTTATCAACGCTCAGGGCGAAGGCGAGAACGCACACTCCATCATTGCTCGCAAGGTGGCGGCCGAAGGCATTGTGCTGGTGAAGAACGACCAGAACACACTGCCCTTGTCCCGCCGGCCAGTGAGTCCATCCGGTGGTCCCTATCGGGTGGGCGTATATGGCGACGACGCCGGGCCGGCCGGAGGACCTAACGCTTGCCCAGACCGAGGCTGCAACCAGGGCACTCTGGCCATGGGCTGGGGTAGTGGGACGGTAGAATTTCCCTACCTGATTAGTCCGATCGATGCTTTGAACACTGCCTGGGCTACCGAGATCGACATGCATTCATACATGCGAAATGCAGTGATGCCCGCCGATGCTGCCGACCGGGATCTGTGTTTGGTGTTTGCGAACGCCGACTCCGGCGAGGGTTACATCTCTTCGGGCGGCATTAGCGGCGATCGCAACAATCTCTTCCTGCAGAAGGGCGGCGACTCGCTGATCAAGACGGTAGCCAACAGCTGTGGCGGGCCGACGGTGGTGGTGGTGCACGCCGTGGGCCCGGTGGTCGTCGAGTCGTGGATTGACCTCCCGGGCGTCGCCGCCGTCTTGTTCGCGCATCTGCCCGGACAGGAGAGTGGCAACGCTCTGGTGGATGTGCTATTTGGAGAGGTCGATGCTAGCGGTCGGCTGCCGTACACGGTGGGCAAGAGCCTGGCCCACTACGGGCCGGGCGCGCAAGTGTTGTACGAGCCTAATGCACCGGTTCCCCAGGTAGACTTTACGGATGGACTGTACATTGACCACCGCTATTTCGATCGCCACAATATCACTCCGCGGTTCGAGTTTGGTTATGGGCTGTCTTACGCTACGTTCGAGTTGGCCGAATTGCAGGTCCACGCCTTGCGGTCGAAGTCGCGGCTGCCCGCATCGAGGCGTCCCGCCACGATTTCTCCCCCAGCGTATGATCCTGAGCCGCCACGGAACGAGTCTTTCTTCTTCCCCCCGGGGTTCAACGTTGTTAGCAAGTATATCTACCCCTATCTGCCATCTCTGGATGGTACTACTCCCGCGAACTACACGCACTACCCGATCGGCTATGACAAGCCGCGGACACCGTCAGAAGCCGGAGGTGGCTTGGGCGGCAACCCATCTCTGTTCGAGGAGATGGCGAACGTGGAAGTGCAAGTCCGGAACACGGGACCCCGGTCGGGTCAGACGGTGGTGCAGATGTATGTCTCCTTCCCGGAGGAAGTGACGGAGGAGGGCGACTGGGTGGAGGTGCATGAGCGGAGCAGTAGCAAGACGAAGATCGAACGGGTGCCGGAGAAAATCGACTTTCCGGTGCGTGTGCTGCGAAACTTCACCAAGGTGGCCCTGGAGCCCGGTGAGGCGCAGACAGTATCGATGAGTCTCAGCCGGAAGGACCTGAGCTATTGGAGTGTGCGGCAGCAAAACTGGGTGATGCCGGATGGAGATTTTGAGATTTGGGTAGGGCAGAGTTCAAGAGATTTCCCGTTGCGGGGATACTACTAGATTTTGAGGTATTATTAGATTTTCATGTACATATAGAATTGCTATCAATGATGTTTTGGAAGTACATCGCAGGTTCTCGTTGCAGTATGGCCCCTACTCCTACCTCTTTTTCTCTCGTCCGTGCTGAGCCATCGCCTGTAAGCGGGGCTGCATGAAGAACATAGTAAGGACAAAGTGAGCCTACCCGGACCAGCAAGCGCATATGTCGACCCTTCCATTACACCCTATCCATGATGATACCACTGTCCCTATTACCATCTAACATCCAACGCTTTCGACCTTATACGATACGACAGCTCTCAGCCCGACGACCCGGAAGGACCATAACCGTTTCGAAATTTCACGGTGCTGCTACGCAAACACAGCAGAACTGACATCACAAGCGAACAAGTCTTACTAGGCAGTAGTAGGTACTCGACCAAAGCCTCATTGATGGATGGCTGAGGCGGTGCACCGCAACCTCTGCCCGCAGCCTTGCACACGCGCGTTACCGCACTACCGCACGATTCCAACAGTGTGTCCTGGTCTGATTCGTTCATTTCTCTCCCCCTCTTGCAGATGCATGGAATTGTTGGCCCCAAGTCGCGTCAAGGGTGGAGGTGGTGTTCGAGGTGGGAGACTGTGTTCAGGAAAGTGGGTCAGTGATTGCTGTAGAGAATACAAATACCCCCAGATTTATCGTCTTTGCAGTGGTTCTTTCTCTCTTCACATTCTATCCTATCTTTCTGTCAGTCTCCATTTCACTCATTTATCTAGTTGGCACGGTTGCCTTTTTTCTTTCCTTTGCGTTTAGCTAAAACCTTCGGTATTGTATCTATCGGTACAGATACAGCCCAATCATGGAGGGCAACGCTTCAGCAGTCCTCCGGGTTGAATTCGTTTCGAGGGTTAGGTGGGTTCGAAATTCTCTGCATACACGACTGTTCTCACTTCCGTTTTTATTGATGTTGAAGCATACGCTGAGATGATATGGGGCTAAATGAATGTGTGAATATCTAGAAGACGTGAGGTCGGCGGCGGCGTGGACGTGAACAACCCCACCAGTTATATACAGAGGATGAGGATCCAAGTGCACCAGCCCCATTCCCGATCTTCATCCCAGGTTACCCGACAGAGGGGATATAGATCTGGCAGCGCGTACGGATTCCCGAGGGCAAGGGTGTCCCGCTCCTTGTCTTGGGAAGCCCTCTCGCGGGCTCACAGAGACATGAGAAAGGCTATTTCTCGCCGACATGTGGAAGGCAGGTGTCGCAACTGCGGATCCCCAGAGCACTGGGAGGCTGATTGTGACAAATGCTGTGGTAAATGTTCGTATAATTTGGAGTGGCAGATATGTCGGAGTGGGCTGACGCTGGCTGATATTTTAGGCAATGGTAGCGACCATAAAGTGTCTGACTGTGGGGGAAATGTTGTCTGCTTTTCTTGTGAGTTCGCTGATGGGAGGAAGTGTGGATGGGGCTAACTGAGGTGATTTTATAGGTGGTGGAGTAGGCCATATGCATGGTGATTGTCCATCGAACTGAACATTGTGGGTGTAAGACTCCCAAGAAACGTTAGAGTGAGTGCGGACTGTCTTTCTCACAGGCTGTATTAGATGTATATGGCTGACTCGATAGAACTTCTAGGATGAGTTGGGAAGATTGGGTGATAAGATCTTGTTGTTGTGCTTGTTGTGAACTTGCATTGAGACCAGACTGTCAGTAGTGAGCATTAATTCTAGCATGTTTTCAAGTGGGTTGAGGAGTGATAGACAAAGTAAAAGACCAGTTTCAACCCTTGATAAGGACAGGTATATCGCCATATCAACCAAAATCACATGGGATTTGGTCAGCTAAACTAACTTAGCTTGGGTCTCACTGTCCCAACAGCACCTACACGAACCCATTGAATCCATCTGAAGCCCAGCATAACCATGAAATCATGCCCATCTCCGCCGTACCGTCTACTTCCCCCGCTGCGGGAATGCCTTCCGCCCAAACCCTACCCGTTCCAACTGCAACACCAATTCAGTGGAATACTTCCCCGGATGACTTCAGAGAGATCACATCAACACTGAATTACAGTAGATTTTAGTATAAAGAAAGCCCTATCTCAACTCATACTACAATTCCTTGTTTACACACCACACCACACTCCACTCCATTCCACCACCCTTTGACATCCATACGACAGAATAATTATGAACATCCTAGCCCTCCTCCTCACCACCCTCTCCCTCCTCCCCACGCCCTCCTACACCCAAGAATCCTCCTCCTCATCCTCTGACGGCTCCTCCGGATCCACCTCCTCCTTCACCGTGACCGCCTACCGCTCCGACTCCCCCATTAACAACCTCCCATTAACCATCTTCTCCGGCCGCTTCTACCTCGGCGGCCGCACCTCCTCCTACTGTCCTCCAGGTGTAGCCTCGGAGGGCGAATGCCCCCCAGGAAACGAAACCATTATCGTTGGTGGGAATGGCCTAGTACGTCCCTTACCCCTACCCCTTATCCCCCATATCCCCACCCTCAACAACCACCCACTAACCCAACCCCCCTCCGGGGAACCCTGAAAAGGCAGTCTCCGTCCCCGGCGGCCAACAAATCTACATCCTCCCCACGGGGGCCTTATCATTCACAGCCCCGCACTCATCCTACATGCCTCCCGGCTCATCCACCGGTCCATTCAGCTACACGCCGGGTACTCCCTACGGAAGCTGGAATTATACGGGCTCTCCGGGTGGGTTCATTGCTTGTCCCGTGAGGGGAGGTGGGGGAGGGGCTAGTAGTAGTAGTGTCCATGGTGGGTCATCGAGTACGCCAAAGCCTAGTTCTACGCCGAAGCCTAGTAAGGCGACCCCTTCTTCATCCTATGTGAGTCCGTCGGTGAGTCCGTCGGTGAGTCCGTCGGCCACGCCGGGAGCTGGTGGGGGTAAATGGATTGTGTATGTTAATTGGAAGAATGCGACGGTGCCTGGGGGGAATGTTAATGAGTGTTTGGGTTTTGGGGCGAGGGCGTGGGGGAGGAACGCCAGTGTGGGGGCTTGGGAGTATATCTAATTGTCTTTCGTTTGGGAGGGTTTTGGATGAGGGAGTCGGGATGGGTATGGGGATGGGGGGTAGTTGGGGTTTGAAGGGGGGAGGATAGTTTGTATAAGGGTTGGGTTGGAAATGGGTGAAAACGGTGCTGTGGGTTTGGTTCCTTGTTGGTGATGATAGTGCATGCATTTATCTTGTTTATTCATCTACAGGATGGTTTATTGAAAGGAATAATCTTCGTTAGTATGAGGTATAATTTATCACGCAATTGAGATGGAAAGAAAATTAGTGTGAAGCATTTATATACCATAGGGATGAGTATAGTCACCTGACAACAGTCCTCAATGTATAATAGTACCCCGTCACTATCTCATTTCATCTTTTCCACTGCCATCTTACGGGCTCGTGAACATGGATTGTCTACCCCTGGAGGTAAAGCATTTAATCGCTGGAATAGTAAGAACACTGCGGTTAGCCTTTGAAACCAACTAATCCGGAACCTAGATTCGCGATGTGTCGTGGGAAACCCTGCGGGCTTTATCACAGGTGAACCGCCAGTGGAACCAGATTACGGCGCCGGGTCTCTATAAAGATCTTACTCTCCGCCTGAAGCCGAACGAGCCACCTCACCGTGTGCTTCAGCTGCTAGACGCCACTCTCGTCTTGCCGCATATCAGATATCTCACCCTCGTAGATCCCACCACCTCGGACCTAGGTGATCTCAACGTAGGGAGGTATCTCAATGAGACGCGCCCCGAGAATATCGATGTCCCTCCCATACTGCGCGCATACAAAGGGGATTGGGACCCGATTATCTTCCTCCTCCAACGGTTGGTGTGTCTGAAGCGGCTTCATCTTTTACTGTACCCATCATACCCGCCGGCACTGCTGGATACCCTAGCGGAGACTCATCCAGACTGTCACGTTTCGGTGTTCTCCGCCAGCCCCGATACCTACCGAGCGGATTTCACGCGAAATAAATGGATCCACTCTCCCGTGGTGAAGGCCGCTTGGATCGTCTACTATGAACATCCCAATGGCCGCTTCTACACCGAGCACCCGGATCGCTTTCTGCGGAACATTCTCCGTCAAGCGCCGGGGATCAAGCGTCTGACGTTGCAGATCAGCGCCACGCCGGGGCCCAGCTCCTGTCAGCGGTACACCAAGTGGCTGCAGGCCCAGCCGTCGGAGGACGAGGTCAATACCCATCCACGCGCGCAACTGGAAATGCTTTCATTCCCATTGATAAGCAAGATGACCGCGCAGAACCTGCAGGCCTGGTCCCGGGTTACCGATCTGGGATATCTCACCGCGTGGACCGCCGGCGCCATCGAGGACATCGCCCTATTAACAACCATCGCCGAACTGCAGCCCTTCCGGGCCCTAAAGCGACTAACCCTCGCCCTGAACTCCCCGGAAACCTCTCCCCCCTGGCTCCCGGCAGTCAAAACCATGTTCAACGCCCTCCCGCCCCTGACCTATCTCTGCCTGCTGGGGTCCTACCACCCGGAATGGCTCCCCACCGCTATCCTGGACCGCCACGGCCCAACGCTAACCGAGCTGCAGCTGCACAGGCCCCGACCCTGGTTCCAGAACTATGAGTCCTACCGACTCGCGCGGAAGGGGCAAATTGCTCCGATCTTCCCTGCGGACGTGATCACCAACATGGCGGCTCGCTGTCCTGTCCTACAGACGCTGCGGATCACCGTGCAACGATACCGGGGCCACTCAACCGAGACGGCCGCTTACGACGCCCTAGGCCGTTTTCCAGCCCTCCACACACTGGACCTTCACCTCAACTGCCTGCCCGTGATGGTCTCGGGCTATGAGACCCCGTTCCCCCCACGGGAGCTCACTGCGTACGAGCGCCAGACGATCCAAACCTGGCATGGCAGCCTTCCCAAGTGGACGGTTCGGGACACCGCTATCAACAGTGCGTTCGACGAAACGCTAGCTACAGCGATCTTCACGCGCATCTGGGGCCAGAAAACGGGGAGATCCCTCCGAGTGCTCCGACTGCACCCCCTCTCGGGCCAGGCTGGGCAGTATCAGGGATCCACGGGCATCACGGCCCATGCGCTGCTCGGAGATGGGAGTTACCACCAGGAGATGGGTGGCGCGTGGCAGGTCGAGTGGGATGGGGCCAACGGGATGCGGGTGGAAAACCGGTTCAAGCCGAAACGCAAACGGGGCCAGACGATGCGGAGTATGGATTTGGAGATCTTCGAGTCTATTTGGCCGTCGGATCGAGAAGAAAAGACCTGGCCTATGGAATGGCGTAGCTGGCCGTTGCAGTGAGGGTTACTGAGTTGCTACCGGAGCATCGCTGTGTTGCATCGTTTGAGGTTTGTACGTAGGTATTACTGTTTCTTCACAATGTATATTGATGTATGATTTAGAAGTAGAAAAGGAATGATAGTAAAGGAAGGCGTAGAATGTTTGGAAGGGGTGAGTGGTATGTTCTTGTGATCATTGAGTTGGTGGTTATATACTCCGAAGTATGGTTTATGAGATGAGTGGATTGGCTTATACTTTTGTTTGTGGTGAGGTATTGTGCAAAAATCAGGTGGTTCGTGGGATCTATGTTGAGAAAGACAGAGGGGGGCAGATGAAGAGGCACAGGCAGTCAGTCAAAGAAACTGAGGTACTATTAATTAGTCGATTAATCAACTACTTTTCGATGAATACAATTGCAATCAGACAATTCAATCGCAGCATAAATACCTTGATGAGTACGGTTGAGACTTATAGCGTAAAATACTCTTGATTATAGAATATACTACTGGTAAAAGAACCATAGTATCTAACAGTACTCATCCTACCGAGTACATCTTAATCATACCCTCATGCCATTCAAGACTGGCAACAACTGTACGACGCATCTCAGAGTGATATACAACGTGCCAATACAGCAGTAACTTCGTTATCAACTTGGATATACCGAGGATCATCTCTAATGAAAATGCATTCATCCATTCAATATGTGTAATGCCACAATAACAATCGCAGCAACAATGATGATGATAATAATAAGTCCAGCCTATCAAACCCACAAACCCATCCATCCTAATAATATAAACAAGTAAGACC